CAAAGGGATCTGTCAAGGATGGGCAAATGGGTGTCAACATGGCAAATGGGGTTCAATGTGGCCAAGTGCAAGGTGATGCACATTGGAGCCAAAAATCCTAACTATAAATACATATAGATCGGGTCTGAACTGGCAGAGACTGATCAAGAGAAAGATCTTGGAGTTGTAGATAATTCACTGAAAACGTCGAGACAGTGTGTGACTGCAATAAAGAAGGCCAATGCTATGCTGGGGATTATTAGGAAGGGTATTGAAAACAGATCAGCCAATATCATAATGCCCCTATGTAAATCAATGGTGCGACCACATTTGGAATACTGTGTGCAGTTCTGGTTACCACACCTCAAAAAGGATATTATAGCTTTGGATAAAGTGCAGAAAAGAGCAACTCGAATGATAAAAGGGTTGGAACACTTTCCCTATGAGGAAAGGTTAAAGCGCTTAGGGCTCTTTAGCTTGGAGAAACGACGACTGAGGGGTGACATGATCGAGGTTTATAAGATTATGCATGGGAAAGAGCAGGTAGAGAAAGAGGTACTTTTCTCCCTTTCTCACAATACAAGAACTCGTGGGCACTCCATGAAACTGCTGAGCGGTTGGGTTAGAACGGATAAAAGGAAGTCCTTCTTCACCCAAAGAGTGATTAACGCATGGAATTCACTGCCACAGGAAGTGGTGGCGGCTACAAGCATGGACGGCTTCAAAAGCGAATTAGATAAGCATATGGAGCCAGAGGTCCATCAGTGGCTATTAGCCACAAGGTATAGATAGGGGCTCTGGGGCAAGTGATGCTCTGTCTTCTTGGTGCTTGGGGGGGTGTCTCTTATGTTCTTATGTTCTAATCTGAAGGACCATCGAACATATTTGTCTCCACTAATACACAGTTAAACAGTAAGGCTAACTTTTACCCCCCTGCAACTCGTGTGAAACAAGGATCAGCTCATCTCCTGAGCCTTTCAGAATCCAGCAGTGGGACAACTCTGGATGGTCCCTCATTCACCTCATCCCCCATCAGATCTCCCACCCGGCGGGTGGACACTCACCCTCCAACAGAAGTATCCCAGTTATCTGATTCCAGCTCTTCAAAATCAAACTGATCCACTTTACTTAAAGAGCTTGATTTCAATGAAACAGCACATAGAGAATTGTGGCGCCCGGACATAAAATGCCAATTTCTAAAGATACTAAGACTCAAACGACAGAAAAACTGCTGCGACTGAGCCCGGGCCAAACCAAGCAAAAGCTTCTGCCATGATAACCCTGCCATAATTTTTGATAAATATTTACTTATTTAATTATTCTTTATATATTGTATTGTATAAATATGAAACCGTGTCTTTTAACTTTTGTCCTGAAGCGAGAACGAGTGTTGTAGTTAGATGATCTTTTCCACTGAACCTTAGAATATGAACTCAGGTTCACCGAATCTTTAGTAAAATTTCCAAGGTTTGAAACTATCTAACATTAGTAATTCTGAGAGCTTTGGTCCCTTGTTTTCATAGATGAGAAATCAGTATTTTCTTGCTGAAATTTGATATATAATTGTATCTCTAATAACTAGAAGAAGAGGAGGAGATTGGATTTATACCCTGCCCTTCACTCGGCGTCTCAGAGTGGCTTACAAACTCTTTTCCCTTTCCCCCCCCACAACAGACGCCCTGTGAGGTAGGTGGGGTTGAGAGATCTCTTTCCAGAGCTGTCCTTGAGAGAAGAACTCTGACAGAACTATGGGTTGCTCAAGAGCTGCAAGTAGAGGAGTTTTGCATTATTTTTGATGGTTTTGCATTATTTTTGTGTCTAAACTGCATTTTGGAACTTTTTAAAATTTACAAATTATTTCAGTGTATTGAGACACAATTTGTCAATTGTTTTATAAATTATTTCTCTACAATATTCCAGTTGAAGAAATAACTTGAGATAGACCCAATTGCAGGTGCCAGTTTGCTGGATAAAGCCCTGTTAGGTCCCAAGATGAATCCCCCCCCTCTCTTGATTGATTTAGCTTATTTTTTGTTATAGCTTTTATATTAGACTGTGATGAGATAAATTTTGTAAAATCTTCCAATTTAAAAAAAGAAGTGCTATCCCAAGCTTGAATCTACCCAGAAACCTTACACTAACCAGGAAGAAATGTTATCGATGCTCAGACTCTGGAAGGCGCTTTAGCCATGTAGAAAACCTCAATAAGATCCCACGGGAAAGAAAGCAAGGAGGGGCAATGGGCTCCGCTGGTCGAAGGATCGGCTGATCTCTCCTTTAGCACTGAGGAGTCCCCCCCCCAGGAAGGAATCTGCTCAATGCCTGGCAAGAGTTTGGGGCGTAGATCCGATCGTCATGTTCCTCACAGAATCCATACAAGGGTGAAACTTTCCTAAAGTTGGTTCTGATCAGATTCTTCAGACGCCCTGGCGCTGGAGGTTCGGAAGGGATGAGAAAGTAGTTACCCAAAGAAAGACCTTTTTAGTTTTTCCCCTCCTGTGTGAAACTTTCTGCTTCCGGTTACCTGCCATTCTAACTCTGGCATCTTCAACACTGGCAAAAACTGTTCCTTTTCCAAATTCGACAAAGGAATAGACAAGTGGAAAGGGTAACAGATCTCTACAGCCTCTCTCCTACTGGTGTAACCATAGTGTCACCAGCCGGGATCCTTCATTCACAAATAAGTTTATTCAACGTCCATGCCGAGGACGCGACCTCCGGCCGGGCTGCGGACCTAGTGTCGTCCATGGCGGCAATGGGACTCTCTCAGGTCATCACGGCCCCCACGCATCGGGCCGGTCATACGCTCGATCTGATCTTCGCTGCGGGAGTAATGGTGGACCGGATTACTGCTACTGCAGTACCATGGTCGGACCACCAGGCCCTGAGGGGTCATCTGAATGTGCCACCCCGACCCCGCTTAGGCGGCGAGCAGATTTTTGCTCGCCCGCGAGGCCAAATGGACCCAGTGCGGCTTCAGATGGCATTGCGGGAGCCGAAGCCCCCTGGCAGCTCGTTGGATGAGCTAGTGGAGGACTGGCATGACCGGCTCTCCGCGGCCATCGACGAGATTGCTCCCAGGCGTCCTCTCCGGACTCGAGTGAGGCAGGTGCCCTGGTATACCCAGGAGTTGCGCCAGCTGAAGCGAGAACTGAGACGACTAGAGAGACGGTGGCGTCGTGCTCGCGACGAGGCGTCAAGAGCATCTTATAGGACGTTTATGAAGGCCTATGAGGTGGCAGTCAAGGCCGCAAAGAGGGAGTTCTTTGCGGCTAGGATTGCTTCTGCTAGCTCACGCCCGGCACAATTATTTAGTACGATTCGGTCATTGACATCACTGCCACAGGGCAGACAAAATGTGAGGGAATTGGACATCGGCTGTGAGGCATTTGCGAGCTATTTTGCAGAGAAAGTCTTGGC